TTGATGTGGTAAAATTTTTACTCCTAACAGTCAAACCCTTGATATAGACAATTTTTCTTGAGATCAACATGATCAAAATGTCTTAACCATGTTTGCTACATCAAGGAGTTTGTTTGAGAAAATAGAGCTTGGGAGTCCATGCAGTGATGCAGAATTAATTTTGTCAAAATAGTAATTAAGTTATTAAATTTCTAAAAAAAAAAAAAAAAACAATAAAACCCTTTGAATAAAATCATAGCCCACTTTTGCCATTTTGGTTGTTAACTTCATGTTAAAGGTCACATTATACTGATATTGCTCATTTGTTATGGAAATTATTAATAATATTTTTAATTCTTTTATTTACATTCATTGTTTTTATTCTAACAGAAGACAACATGCTCTTCGCCTCTTCCAATTCTAAGAGGCAACGCCCTTTGCCTACTGGAATTACAATTTCTGGGTAAATTCAGAAACATAGAAAAGACACAGGCAACACCTTGTGTCCTAATGGTAATGTTTTCCTTAATGGCTTCAACTATTTAATATAGATGTACATATATATCTCACGTAATACTATTTACTTCATGTCACTATGTGTTAATGTGTAGATATAAATATGTGGCATTTATGTTGCAGGTAGGACACATAAATGAAGGGGAATTCATGATCAGTTTGCAAATCAATGAGCAAGGAATTATTTGCTAAAATTACAATGAAGAAAAACATGTATGTTTCCATATTTCCTTTATCTTGAACCTGCAATTTCCTTTTTCCACATATGATAGTTGAGCCCTTCCATTTTTTCATTCTTGTTGAAACTCTTTGATATATACTTGCAAAAATTTGTTATGCAATGAATATACATGTATTTAGTTCCTTAAATGCTATGTATATATAGATACTAAGTTGAATAGATGAGCAGAAGTCCCTATCAAAGATTAGTTCATAGGAGTCAAATCTTACCATCAATAATTAATGCTTGATAGTAGGGATAGGTGTATACCAAAAGTATTTGTACATGTATGTATTGGGTAATGTGTAACTTGTAATTTACTCAAAGATTTTGATGTGTTTTTCTTGTGTAACTTATAGTTTTTACATTCTGATGCAATATACATGTTAAAAACAGAGATAAGTGATGATAAAGGAATCTGATGCTTTTTTTTCTTTTTTTTTTTTCTTTTTTTTTTCTTTTTTTTTTTTGAGTCAACAATTGAATTCCTTTTTATATTATTTTATCATTTTTTGGAATTTTTTTTTTTACTTTACAGTATAATTATTTTCTCCAAATAATAAATAAAATTATATTTTCTTTTTTATTATAATTTTCTCCAAATAATAAATTCATCTCTCACACATCAAATTCTTGATGTAATGTGAATTCTTATCTTAGCATGTCTTACTTTGTATAAAATTATACTTCTAAATATATATGTATCTAAATATATTATCTTATAATTATTTTACTTTTAAATGACATTGTTTTTTTTTCTACGATGTAGACTTAATAATTTTATTCATTTACTGTCACTCCAGTTTTAAATATTTCATACCACACCATAACACCCAACTCTGCTCGTATAAACTTATACTTTTAAAATACAAGCAAACGATGACAAATGAGATGCTTTAATTTTTTTATTTTTTTTTGAGCCACCAATTGTATGCATATATAATTTTCTAAACTCCTTTTTATTAAACTGTTTTCTTTCAAATATTATGTGATATGCTGTTTTTTTTTTTTTTTTTTTTTTTTTTTTTTTTTGTGTGTGTGTAAACTGTCTACTTGTAAAGTTTTATGTATATCTGCCATATGTATGGAAAATGCTTTTCCCTCTGGAGTTCACTGCAAATATTAGCTTAGAATCATAAATAGATAACTTCACATTAGAAGGCTAAGTACGGTAGAATGCCAAAAGATAACGCATCATGCCAAAAACAACCCCCAAAATAGCCTTATACAAACATTCTACTTTCTAGTACCACATATATATATATATATATATATATATATATATATATATATATATATGCATACCATCAATAACACAAATACTATACTCTAGTCTAGACTTATAAGTTTCCAAACCCAAATACTAACAATCTAAAATTACATGCAAGTGATGATAAAAGAGTTTATGCCTTTTTCTTTATAAAAAAAACTTTTTGTTTCTGATTCAACATAGATAAGAGGATTGGAAGAAGTTTACCATCCTTCCAAGCAGCAGGAGCTACCAGATTGCTGAGGCGGTGGGGCGGCGTACTATGGCGGAGGATATTGGGGAGGGTAACCTTGGGGGTATACTCTTGGGGCGGGTAACCGGGCTGAGGATAAGCATCCTTGGGATATCCTTCTGGTAGATAACCTATTCCAGAAACTCAAAAATCCATTAGATCCGTTCCCAAATACTGGCAAAAAGACGATTCAATCGAAGAAGATTACTGAAAAAAAGCTTACTTTGAGGAGGCGGCACCGGCGGACCTTGATAGTTCCGCACACAACACGAAGCTGCGCACCAACAACCCCGAACATCTTCTTTGTTGATAGCATAATATGAAATTTGTTTTTACAGTTTGTATTTGAATAGAAGTTGAAGTCTCTAAACATGTATCTTCTATATATATATATATATATATATATATATATATATATATATATATATATATAAGCGTGCAACTGAGGTAGTGAATAGGCCACTCCCCTACAAATAGTAGGGGATACCAACTCTGTAAACACGCAATATGCCACTCCCCTACAAATATAGCCTGACACCATACTCTCCCGATGGTCAAACACCCAAACACTAATGCAAAAAAAAAAAAAAAAAAAAAAAAAACGCTGTCGTTTATCATGGGCGGAAAAATAGAGCAATCTGATTGGCTGAATCCTTCTTGCTTTATATATATATATATATATATATATATATATATATATATATATATATATATATATATATATATTTGACACTAACTAAACTTTGATGTATATTTCTTTTAAATGTTGCTGTGGTTTGGCTAATGAATTTGATAATTTTGAACAAAAATTTTTTTTTTTAAAAAAAAAAAAAAATTAAAGTATCATCATTCTCCATCTGACCATCTCTATCTCTCGTGAAAATTACTAAGAAAAAAAAAAACCGACTATCCCCATTCGACAATAGCACAACAAAGTTTAAGAAAGATAATCATGATTATCCTAAATTAAAGAAGGTCTAAATCTAAACTTTTGAGTTTTAGATCATGAAAGCAACAATTTTTAGTTATGATACGGAAGTGATCATATTTCAAAAATCGCAGTCATCCAGACCTAGTCCAGATCTTGACAGGCATGGTTTTGGCACTCTTTAATCTCTGTTTTTTTTTTTTTCCGTAAGTTGTATGAGAAAGACTAAGAAAAATAAACGGTCCACAATTCATCATAAGATACTATAATTTGGAATTTTGTTGTTTTATTGTGTGGAGTGTGCATACTATACTTTTTTACATCATTCAAAGCCATTTTTTACTCTTCTTCCAAAGTTGAAGCCACAACTTTAAAAGGCTCTCACACTCCCGACAGACAGGGACGGAGCCAAAAGGGGGGCAGGGAAGGCACCTGCCCCCCCTCACCCCACCCCACCCCACCCCTACCCTATATATAGCTTTGTATATAATATGTATATATAGTACATTATTAGTATAAGTATTATAAAACAGATTTTGTAAACAAAAGTTTTGATAGACAAGGTGGTAGGAAACTTGTTTGGGTTTTAAAATGGCTTGGGTTCAATTCCTTGCCAACACTGTCTTTGCTCAACACAATCTTTTATATTAATAATGTGATGTATATATAACTTTCTTTTTTATATTAATAATGAGATGTTTATATAACTTTCTTTATATTAATAATGGAATGTGTAATTTATAATGTGTTTTATATTCGAATTGTTTTATCAAATTAATTATGTTTTATATTTTGTTATAAATATTTTTATAAAATTTTAATATGCTTTATTTTTCGCTATATCCAACAATATTTATTGTTATACTTTTTAAAGTGTTTCATTTTTTTTTCAAACTTTCTCTTTTATTTTAATTTTTTGGCCTCACTGAAAAAAATTCATGAATCCGCCACTGACCATCCCTACTTCTTTGCCCCCCCCCCCCCCCCCCCCCCCCCTCAACATAATTTCTGGCTCCGTCCCTGCCGACAGAGTATGTGAAATGATGTAAATCACAATAACTCAGTAACTCAGGAAACAAAATCAAATAACAGTGCATAAGGATTTATTCACTTCGAGCATAATCCCCACACTTTTTACTTTTTACTCTTACTAGATTTTCTTCCTTAATCATTTTGCAAGCACTAGGTCTTAATTTTACATTTGTACTAGTCAAAACAAACTTTTTTTTTCTTTTTTTCTTTTACAGCTCATACTGCAACTGTCAGGAATTGATCTTGTGTACTTATTCACAGTCTACCACTCAACAACCAACTAAGTTGTTCGTACAAAATATTTATAAAAACTACTAATAGATCACTAAGTCACTGTTATTTACTCTTCCACTATCACATCGAGTGGGGATGTGAAGCCTGGAGTTGAGTAAATTTATGAACAAAACAAACATATTTTTATTATTCCCTCCGTCCCATTTTATGTGTTTGGTTTGTTTAACAAGGCTTGACTTAATTTATTTTAATTCATTTTTTTAAAATATTAAGTTTAGTATTAGTATACAAAATTTATATATTTAGAAACTATACTAAAAGTACTATTAAACACAAAAAAATTAAATTTAAAAATAAGTAAAAAATATAAAAAAAAAATAAACAAAGAAGAAAGAGTTGGTTTGACCAATAAATAGTGAGTAGGACTAATAAAATGGAACAGAGTGTACTAAACTAGACTAGATTACCCTCAAATTTCTCACCAGTCGTGCAGCTCACAAAAAATTCCAAGGATAATCTTGTCTTTTCACCAAGTAAGACTCTAATGAGTAATGACTCCCCGCTCCCATCACTGCTTAACATAGGTAGCCGTTACAGTCCTCTCCTGTCTTTCAAAATTTCCCAAACTTAGCCGTTAAAGTTCTGTAAACCTTCAACCGCCTCTCTGCTCTGTTTCCGGCAACTCGTCGCAACAATGGCCGGACATCCAGCTTTCACCGCCGCAGAAATGGCGGTAGACAAAGGCCTCGGCTACCCCAAAGCCTATGCGAAGCTCTGTAAAGACCCAAGCCTTTCACCTCTATTCACTTTCGTTCCTTCTGCTACCCAGGAGGTAATCAATCTTCTGAAATTTTTTCCCTAGATTTTCACAATCGATTTTCTCTTTCGAATTTCCATATCGTGGTTGACGATAGGCTTCCAGAGCGAAGGAATTGGATGAGATGTTTCCGATCGTTGATCCAAATGCAAAGCCTGCTATAAAGCCCAAGATGTTTGTCAGTCTTCTCTGGAAGCAACTCAACCACCTTGGGTAAACAATTCTACTTTAATTTGGTGCATAGAATTCCTAGCCCTAGGACTGCATTTCATATGTTTAAATTTCTCTCAGGAATGCTGGATTTGACCCTAACATGTTTCGGATTGACCCATACGGAAATGTTCTGTATTATCATGCTGATTCAGCTTCACCTCTGGCCTGGGGCATTCATCACTGGTTTCCTATTTCAAGTAATCTTCATACTTATCCCTTCAAAGTTCAAATAGAGATGTAAACCCAGCAAGCCTGTTCCATTTTAGGCGATTTTTTTATTGGGTTTAAAATTTCAGTCCTAACACTAGAATTTTGAACGGTCGAACTTATCAAACATTTCCATTAAAGCTAATACATTTAAAAAGGGGAAAATTGCATTTTTATACTCTGAATTATACTCAAGTTCTGACTCAATCCCCTGAGTTATGACCGTATCCATTTTTAGTCTCTTTGTTATGAATTAAGTGGCGCAATTTGGTCCTGACGGTTAAAACTGACGGAAAAATTAAAAAATATTTAAAATTTGAGAATAAAGTAGGAAATTCACATTTTATTCTCCATCTAATATCAAAACTACTTTCACAACATTATTTTTTATTTCTTAGCCTCTTATTTCAAGATTGTTCAATTCTAAAAGCATTTTAATAACTTTAGTATGACTTGTTAGGAACCTGGCTCTCGTATGACAAACTTAAAACTTAGCACAAACAAAGAAACACTTGATCATTGTCTTCAGACGTGTGAAACACACTATTCTATTAATTTTCAATTTTCTTTACTAAGCAACAAAGGTAATCAAACCAGAACTTTTGAGATACAAAATGATGTCAAATTTCTCAGGTTGCTTTTATGATAAATTCACCAACGGAATAACTTGAGATTTTTACTTTTTTAGTATGTAAAAATTTTTCATATGCAGTAGTTTATTCAATAATCGTTTTTAGCAGTTACAAATTTGTTTTTTTTTTTTTTTAAATAGTTACAAATTTTTTTAAAATTTTCATAACTGAGGCTTAGGTTCCTCATTCATTACTCTAGTTTTTAAGAAGACAAAGGAGGTGATGGATATATATATATATATATATATATATATATATATATATATATATATATATAATTAATTTTCATATATTGTCAGGATATACGATTCTTGATTAATTTACTACAGAGCTTACGAAAGAATTTTACGTACTAAAAATCTCAAGTTACTCCCTTAGTGAATTTGTCATAAAATAACGTGAGAAATTTGTTATCTTCTTGTATTTCAAAAGTTATGGTTCGATTACTATTATGTTTAGTAAGGGAAATCAGAAACTTTTAGGATGATGTGTTTTACATGCTTGAAGACAAGATTAAATGTTATCTTGTTTGTACTGAGTCACAGATACGAGACTCAGGTTACTAACAAGTCATACGAAGATTATTGAATTGCTTTTGGAATTGAAGAACCTTGAAATATAATGCTAAGAAGTGAAAATAATGTTGCAAAAGTGGTTTCAATATAAGAAAGTGAATAAAATGTGAATTTCCTAATTTAACACTTAAATTTTAAATATTTTTAAATTTTTCCGTCAGTTTTAACGGTCGGGGACCAAATGCGCCACTTTGTTCATAACTAAGGGATTAAAAATGGATACGGTTATAACTCAGAGACTGAGTCGTCTCTACCATTATAACTCAGGAACCAAACTCGCCATTTTCCTTTTAAAAAATAGAAAACTATTGATATTTTAAACTTTCAATTTTAACAAACAAATACATTTACACTTGTAAATATAAATTTATGCATCATTTGATCAATATAAACATTCATTTCCAAATTCCAACTACAAGTAATTTATTTATTTACACCATAATATAATAATAATAATAAGTTTTTTAATTTTTTTTTTAATTTTTTTTTTATTTTTCACTATTTATTTTTATAAAAATATTTTGTTTTGTAATAAATTTATTAATATATTTACTAAAATTTTATTTACAAATTTAATAAAATATATTAAATATGAGCTTATATATAAATTATATTTTATTCCACACCAAAGTGACTCATATTATCGGACTAGCTCATTTGGACCATTGCGGTTTATTGGTTTTGGACTTATTGAGCCGATTTTTTATAAGACTAAGGGGGTGTTTGGTAAATGGCTGTTAGCTGATTGAGTTAGTGGGTTTGACTAGTTGATAGTATTAGCTGATTGTAGAAAAGTGTTTTGTAAATTAGCTATTTACATGCAAATGACTTTCTCAAAAAGTTAATTGAAAAAACTACTTAGAGCCGCTTTTTTGAATTTTAGCATTTTGGAGCAATAAGTTCGTTACAAAAAGTTAATTAATCAAACACTCATATTGATTGTTTAACCAAGTCAAGCAGCTAATAGTGGTCAAATAAGCTAAAATTGACTGATAAACTAACTATTTTACCAAATATAGCCTAAGTTTTTTTGACCTTGACAAATGACTTTCTCAAAAAGTTGATCGAAAAAGCTACTTTGAACCGCTTTTTGAATTTTAGAATTTTGGAGCAATAAGTTGTTACAAAAAGTTAATTAATCAAACACTCATATTGATTGTTTAACTAAATCAAACATCTAATAGTGGTCAAATAAGCCAAAATTGACTGATAAACTAGCTATTTTACCAAATATAGCCTAAGTTTTTTTGACCTTGACACTACAATTTTTTGGTCTTATCAGATTAACCCATCGATTTTGGACTAAGATTGACATCCCTACCTTCAAATTTGATGGCCAGGATTGATTTACAATGTGTTGATGAATATCTTTGTGATTTGTGTCTTTCATATGGAAACTACAGGAGGAGGATTGACTGTTCCAAGAAATCTAAGGATTTTACAGTGGCAAGTCTGCAAGAAGAAGCATAACCAGCTTGAATTTCTCATTCCATGGTGGGATCTTCAAGTTGGTATCTCCATTAACCAGTTCTTATCCATCTTTGCCTCATCAAACTCAGATTTCAGGTGGTTCCATGCCCTAGAAAAAACACAGACAGAACATGATGGGGAAATTCTAATGTTTGTCTGTTTGTTTTTTTCATTTTGCTTTGCAGGCACAGGGCATTTTCATGGCTGTTTTCTGAAGGTGAAAGTGAGGAGTTGAATACCTCACAGACAGGAATAGGATGTGTGGCTCCTCCAGCTGCTGTTGTTCTTGCTCGGAGAGAATCCCGCGACACTTCATCAGCTCTCAAGTCATTAGACATCAACAAAAGACCGAGATCATGCATCCCTATAATAGGTTATTCTTGAATAATTAAACCTCAAAGACATCATAAATCATTAGCTTGGATTTTATGTTGTTTCTGTTGTTTGTGGGCAGCTTCCAAGAAACTGAACTCCGATCTGAAAGAAAACGAGGACCCTGGAATGGGATGCAATCCATATGAGGCCATTGTGATTGCTAGAGATTCTCTGAGACAGTGGGAAGAAACTGAAAAGATGCAGGCTGAAATACAGAAGCTAGATGATGAAGAGAATAGTAAATTGAGAGTGGAAGATTTGGAATTAATTCTGACGAAGAAAAGGCGGCGTGCTGAGAAGTGTCGCAAGCTAGCAGAGGCACAGACTTCATACAAAGCAATGCTCGAGAAGATGATTCGCGATGCCATGCACCAGTAAGAGCTATTTACTGAGTGCTACAGATTTGCAGACAAAATAGATTACCTGAATTGTTGTTTATTCTTTGTTGCAGGAGTGTGGTGTATGGAGAACAAGTGAGGCTGAACCAGGCAGCAAGTAAATCCCTGATGGCAAGGCTTGAAGCTCAAAGAGCAATCTGTAATTCTGCAGAGAAAGAACTGCACTACAAGTATAAGCAGAGAGATGAGTTAGAGAAACAGGTAAGACCTGAGTGTGAACAGACCAGGAAGAGATCACTACTGGACGATTTCCTTGAAGAGAACAACTTTTTTTATTTGCCCGAAAGAACACAATTGCAGATGGAGATGGATGATAACATGATGTTACACTTGGCAGGCAGAGATTCTAAGGACAGTGTTCATAAGGAACTGAGGGCGTTCTTGATGGAAGAGCAGAAAGCATCATTACCAGCACGACAATTATCAGCAATTGAAGAGCAAGAAGCCGTTTATGGAATCTGTACAGAAGAACCTGAGGATGAAGAAATGCTTGAGAATCTGGAAATGCAAGGCGGGACGCCATGCAAATTTCAGTTTCCAGTTCTTAATGAATCAGAAAGAGAGGAAGAGGATGATGAAGAGAGTGGAAAACAGCGCGGGAAAGGAAATGTGGAAAAATGGCTTCAGATGCTGTTGGAGGAGAATAATGCAGAAATAATAGATAAAGTTTGCAGGACAGATGAAATAATAGAGAAGCTGAATCTCAAATACCCTCACATTGAGATCAAATCCTCAAGCGTTCAAGAACCGAATCAACAGTTAGGAGTGGAAAACAAAAGCAACACAGTTAGGAGGATGCCATCTCTGATCTTGAGTGGCATGAAGAAGAGAGGGAAGAAGCAGCCCTCAGTAACCAGAGGCAGTGATGCTGATGAAGATCGAGCAGCAGGAGGGAACAGTAACTTCATTAAAGCATCCATCAAAACAATCATAAAGGCAGTGAAGATATAAAGTCAATCAAGTCATGTTGATTGCACTAGTTTCCCAACCCCGGCCCCGCTCTCAAACACTACATAATTGTGTGATTTTTAGACGGTTTTGGATTGATTTCTATCCTACTCTGTAATATTCATTGTGAGTCATGTGTAATATATCAAGGTCATCAGGAAGGACTTTCTAAGTGAGATGTCACCGACCGCCTAGTTAACTATGCAATTATCACCACTACTACAGAAATAACATATCATAACATATAAAGTTGGTTTTTTATTTAAACCGACATTAAAATTTAACGTCAGTTTTCTATGACCAACCGTCCTTGTAAATCATTAAAAAAACCGAGGTCATATGTTTTTTAATTAAAAAAAATTATTTTATGGGGTATTTAAAAGAGATGTAATACAATGCGTTCTGTCGTTCTATATTTACTCTCCAATGCCCTTCAGTTGCATCACCACTTCAATTTCTCTCAACATTAAAACTCTGCCGCTTGACCTGCAAGTTTGGTGGAGAAGCAGAAGCATGGTCGTCTATGGAGGCCGTCGTCCGGGAACCTGCAGAAGCATGGTGCGTCCACCCTTATCTCAGATTCCAAGACACTTTCGAGACCGTCGACCTCGAGTAGATCTGGAGGAGAACGGAGCAGATCTGGTACGTATCATCCTCCGAGGTCCGCAGGTCCACAGGTTCGCCAAGTATGGTTCGAGGTGCCATAGCCACTGCTCCGTCGCCACCAGCAGTCGCCGTCCCAGTCGCCAAGTATTTTGAGTTTCTGTTTCAGTTTCTACAAGTGTTTGAGTTTCGGCCGTCATCATCGTAATAATCTTTCACTAATTTGCTTTTAGTTGCAATTTGCTTTCAAAAATTTTTATAGCTACTTCCTTTTTGTTTGAGTCGATGACTAATAGTGACAATTGATAACAATTGACATGCATTAGCTTTTATCGGCCATCATCGTAATTCTTTTTTTTTTTTTTTTTTTTTTTTTTTTTTTTTTTTTTTTTATATTTTAATTACAACATAAGAAACAACGTCAGTTATTACTAAAACCCAACGTTGTTTATATATATATATATATATATATATATATATATATATATATTTAAAAAACATACATACAACGTCGGTTATTATTAAAAAACCGACGTTGTTTCTATATATATTTTTTTTAAAATACATACGACGTCGGGTTTTTAAAACTGACGTCGTATCATTTACTTACAACGTCGAAAAAAACCAACGTTAAAAGGGTAAAATAACCGACGTTAATAGTGTTTTTTGTAGTAGTGCACTTAGGCGATTTGTAATATATATATATATATATATATATATATATATATATATATATATATATATATATATATATATATATATATAGGGAAGGGATCAGGTGCATTTGTTGCTTCCCGTGCGGTTGTGAGGTATATTAATGTGCGTGAGGTTTATACTTAATGTGCGTGAGTGTTATGCTCAATATGCTTGAGGTTTGTACTTAATGTGCGTCATGTTAATATGCGTGCGTTTTGTACTTAATGTGCCAGAGTATTGTGCTTAATATGCGTGAGATTTGTGCTTAATGTGCGTGAATAATAAGAGAATTTTCAACAATCTGGAATTGAAGCAAACAACAGAAGTTCCAGATTCTCGCACCAAGATCGGTCTGCATAGACCATTGATAAGGATAGAATTTGTGTATTCACTTTGGGAAGCTTTTATTTCATTGTAAACATCAGCAAAGCAGAGCAACACACTATTATATGTCGTTATTGAAACTTGAAAATTCAAATCTTTCATCTTGGATAGAACAAAAAGAGCATCAGTAACCATCTCAGATGTCGAATAAGCACAGGCCAGCATATTCCATACCACATTATGAGCAACCCAATAATCGAAGTTATTCTGAAGCAACTCACAGAGTGTAGGTACTGGGGATGGGGAAGAAGCTGATATCCATATTTTCTGCTGCATTTTACACATTCACGCACATTAAGTACAAATCTCAGGCACATTAGACACAACACTCACGCACATTGAGTACAAATCTCACGCACTTTAATAACCGCACAACCGCACGGGAACCTTTCAATATATATATATATATATATATATATATATATATATATATATATATATATATATATATATATATATATATATATATATATATATATATATATAAAAGAAAGTTCAAATGCGGCGGGGTCTTCCCGTGCGGCAGTGTGACAGAATTTACCAACAATGTTAACAACATACACCAACAATGTGGAAACACACCACAATGAAATGCAAAAATATACCAAAAAATACACAACGGACCCAAAAAATACACCATATAACTCACCACCCCCAATGGTGTATTTCCGAACACTGTATGGTGTTTTTACTCATACCAAATTGTGTGTTTTTGGTGATGCGTACCTAATTTGTGTCTGTGTTTTGTGGTGCATTTCCTAACGTTGATAGTGTATATTTGTTGAACTATTGGTGACGTCGCACCGCCACACCTAAGGACACTGTCGAACTTGAACCTTCCTATATATATATATATATATATATATATATATATATATATATATATATATATATATATATATATATATATATATATTGTGACACCCCGAAAATCCAAATCCAATTAAGGGATTAATTGAGTAATTAATCCTACTTCAATTTGTAATTTAATTCCTTAAATTCCTGAAATTTAATAGTTGGGGACTATTAATTGACTAGTCAACCCCAAAGTCAAAGTTGTACCTTGAGCTTTGCAAGGAGTTCCATTGTTCCTTACACTTCCTTATGTTAGTAAGAGTATTCTTGACCTTTCACTTGTTGTTGTTAATGTAACCTAACCTAGTAAGACCACCTTCATTCTCTCCTTACACTTTTCTAAAAATCTAGCTCCACCCTCTCTCTAAAGGTGAGTAGCTTTTCTTCCAAGCCAAGTTGGAACCTTGTCAAAACTTCAAGAGTTGCTTCCAAGATTCAACCTTTCTTATATTTGGGCATCTAGGAGGGTAAGATCTAAGTTCATCTTGTGTTTTTGGTTTTATCTAAGGTGTCTTTTCTTAAAGATAGGATCTTTATGATCTTTTGGTATGTTCTTGAAGTGGGTTTGGAAGGTGATCCTAGTGAGGAACTTGTTGAGGTGTAAAGTGAAGTCTTTAGTCTACAAGAGGTAACCCATGCTCTACAAAACCTATTTTGCTTACCTATATGTGAATATTTCTTGGATTCTACATGTGTTTTGCTATGAAATGTGAGTGTTTATGCATTATCTTGTGAAAATGCATATCTAGAGCTTGTGTTTAGGGTTCTTGTGTGCCATTGCTTGGCATTTCCTTTGATTCAAGTCATTTTGTTGTATTTGGTGAGATTTGGCATGTTTTGGACTTGAATTTGAGTTTGGAGATGAAAATCCGCGAAGTGTTGTATTGTGTACATGGATGTACCCGCGGGCGGAACGGCGGGTAGGCGTCCAACCCGCCGCCCACCCGCGGGGTACATTGGCCGGGCAGCCTGTACCCGCGGGCGGAACCGCGGGTAGAGGCCTACCCGTGGGCCCACTCGCGGGTACAATATGTTGGATGTTGGGGGATTTGTTCCCCGTGATTCTTTTGACTCGGTATTTGGTCTTTTGACTTCCCGATGTTCTTTTGTGGAACTATTTGAGTGTCTTCTTGATGTTTCGTATGTCTAGAACTATATGGTAGGATTCCATGTAGGATTTGGTGTCTTGAATCGTGCTAAGTGTTCAACCTTGTGATTCGTTGAACCATGATGAGTCTTGTGTGTTCTTCGGAACTACGTTTGGTTTACCCGTTTGATAAGCATGCTAGTTCGGTGTTTAACTGCTAGCGTGTGTGTTGTTTGTACCTTCCTATTGGTTGATGATAACTTGTGTTATTCATCGTTGTTGTTGTTGGGCTGTGACCCATTCTTTGATTGAGTATGGTTTCATATCTTCGTTGTGATCCGTTCATTGATTCCTGTTGAGGTGTGACGTGTGACGTGTGTGTGGCTTTACCTGGATTGCACGATTAGTGGTATGGGACACTAGTCACCAAGGTATTGCAACGGTCCTCGTGGTGGCCGTGACGTGATTATGGAGTTTGTGACCTTTGTGTAAGGTTCACGTATTTCTTGGGAGGCATGTGTTGCCGTGTGTGTGTACGGTACCTTTGTGTACTATGAAATTGGTGGTCTCGTTGGCGGTCGTTGGCGGATGGGGACGACGGTCCTCGGAGGGAAAAGGTTGGACTTTGTTGTACAGGGGTCCTGGAGGTAATGGTTGGAAGAAGATATAAGGTTGGGGGTAGCCATAAGGTTGAAACCGGGCATAAGGAAGGCATATCAACTCGTGATGGGTGATGTCACGAGGGCTTGTGTAGCCGTTGTTGTGAGTTCTTCTCTTGTGACGTGTGTAGTCACAAAGGCATATGTTGCCGTTGGGTGTGTCCTATTCCTTTGCGTTGTGCATGTCGGGTTTGATCTATTGTGTGATGATAGATCATACCTCGAGACTTCTTGTGAGTCGTGTTGTTCTTTGTGGTCTCGGGATGTGTTCTCGTGTTATTGTTGAGAGTGTTCAGTCTTGTGTTGACTATTGCTCTTGGTTTTGTACTTATATACTTATGTATTCCGTTTCGAAAATGGCTTTACAACTTATATCTTATCTATGTATGTTATTTTACATGTATTGGTGGGTTACCAGCATTATTCGCTGACCGGGCGTCGTCCCATGTTTTATTGTGTTCTTTCAGGTGATGTCTAGGCGAGTGCGCAGTCTAGTACTTGCTAGTGTAGCTTCTCTCGCTTGTTTTATGGCCTGTGTGCCGGTTTAGTTGTAGACCTTTGAGACTATGGATTAGTTGTAAACAATGCAGATATTGCCGTAGCGTTCATTCTTTTGGTGAACGTGGCATAACACCCCGTTGTTTTAGATTTATGTTTATCTAGTTATCCTTCAGTCTTCCGCTGTGTATGTAGTTTAGCTCAGTTATCTGCATGTTTAAGGCTTTTAAATAGCTTATTTTTAGGGGGTGTTACATATATATATATATATATATATATATATATATATATATATATATATATATATATATATATATATATATATATATATATATATATATATATATATATATATATATATATATATAGATTTTGGATCAGGTGAGGTAC